ACCACATTGGGATGGAAGCAATCCACAGACTCTCACCCTCTGTGAAAACAAAATAAGAAACTCCTTTCCAAAGTATCATATCCTTAGATCCAAATTCAAAATATCTATGTTGGATTAGTTCAGCAGCATTTATAAATAAATATCTTTTAGCAGCTGTTGCTCTTTCCTCAGCATTCAAATAATTCAAAGAGAGCATAATAGCATACAGTATCAAAATTCTCTGTGTATTTTCCATCTTTGTGCAGCTTTGTTTTAACCTCTATTTTGTTTATTTTTACTTAACTCTTTGCTTTTTGAGACAGGTTCTCTGTATCTTTGACATGAAGTAACTCTGTAGACCAGGCTGTCCTTGAACTCTCAGAGATCCGCCTGTCTCTGCCTCGCAGGCATTTGGGATTAAAGGTGTACACTACTACACCTTGAACTCACAGAGAACTGTTTGTCTCTGCCTTCTAGGCACTGGGATTAAAGGTGTGTGCTACCACACCTTGAAGTCACAGAGTTCAATCTCCCTCTGCCTTTCAAGTGTTGGGATTAAAGGTGTGTACTACCACACACAACAACTCTCTTCCTTTTTTTGTTTTTTACTTTAAGAACTTCAACTTTTAGTCTGAATATATTTTTAACACACTTCAAACCATTCAGAAATTTTCTCTGTCTTTGAATCTCTCTTTACTGTATATCTCTCTTTTTCTGATCACATGAGTCTTTAATTTACCAAGCAATCTCAGTAGGACTAAAGCCATGGCTTTGACAGCTAGATCCAGCCCATTCCTTAGCTTTCCAGCCTCATGGCTGAGGTACTGGCTGTAGCCATGTTTACTGCCACAACTCTATGGCATTTCAAGGCCCCTGCCTGCAAGCGAGCTTCAGCAGCCTGTGCTTGCAAACCACACAAACCGCCTACATAAAAGAGTCAGAGTTTGCCCTGGCAGGACAGCCCAGAAAGCTGGCATTTTTAAACAGCGCAGCTTTTTTCCTGCTACGGCTGAAAACCGAAAAGCATGCGTTCAGCTTTTCGTCAACACCATTTAAGTGTTTCGTGGCAGGACCTCTTAATGAGCTGCAGGGTTTTGCAGCTAAAGCTGAGTCAGGAAGCCTCTATTAAATTGCAGCTACCAAGAAAACATGCTCTTCTCTTTCCCAAGCTTTCTGAGGCTTTCAGTGGATTCAGTTGTCCACACGTCTGGGCGCCAATCTATAGTAATAGGGGCGGCGGGGCTGCGTTCCCAGCACCCAGGCTGCCTGCCCGGCTAGCTCAGTCAGTAGAGCATGAGACTCTTAATCTCAGGGTCGTGGGTTCGAGCCCCACGTTGGGCGCCATTTGTAGTAATAGGTGCGGCGGGGCTGCATCCCCAGCACCCGGCCGCCCCCACGGCTAGCTTTACCCAAAATAATTACACGGAAACTGTATTCTTTTAATCACTGCTTGGCCCATTTCTATCTAGCCTCTTCTAGGCTAATTCTCACATATTAATTTAGCCCATTTCTAATCATCTGTGTTGCGCCCCTAGGTGCGCTTACCGGGAAGATTCTAGCCTATGTCCATCCTGGGTTGGAGCTTCATGGCGTGCGTCTGTCCAGGAGCCAGGAGCATGGCATCTCTCTGAGGCGTCTGCTCCCGAGAGGAGAGCTGTCGAGTCTGAGCTCACTTCCTCTTCCTCCCAGCATTCTGTTCTGTTTACTCCTCCCACCTATCTTCTAACCAATAAAATGGGCCAAGGCAGTTCCTTTATTAGCCAATGACCTTCCTCCATCATACATAGATAGATGATAGATAGATAGATAGATAGATAGATAGATAGATAATTAAATACCTTCTTCAAGAGGGATGAACCTGGGCACTGTACCAGTCTAATCCAACCAAAGCCAAACTCAGTAGTATAAAAACTCACTGTCGAATTGTCTGGGACTCACTCACGACCTTCTGGACCCCTGCAAAGGGTTATGGTCTCTTCTCCAGCTCTGCCCGCTGCAGCTCACACAGCTCCTCTTCCAGGCTCCGGCTGGCTCCACTCACTGCTGCTGCTGTTCTTGGTGATCTTCCATGGTGCTGGTGTCTCCAAAACACCTGGGCTGCACTTTCACCAATGGCCTCTCACAGGGTCTCATGGTGCAAAGCCTCAAATCCTTGTCATGAGCCCTTCAGTCCTGGGCTTCCACTGCCACAGAGGCTGCACCTTCCCAATGGCCTCCCCTGGCCTCGCACAGTGCCAAGCCTCACCTGCCCTCCATGACTCCTTCATGCCCTCAAAACCAGTACCACTTAGGTGATGCTCACGCGTTACCAAATCCGCATTGGGACTGTTTGCATAGCTGGCAGTTGACAAAAAGCAGGAAGCAGTTTTGAGAGAATTATGCCCATATTACCAAATATTGTATATAAATGTTTGTTTACATTTAAAGTGGGATAAGCTATGGAGCTTGATCTATTGATACAAACTTAAGGTCAATTTTGTTTCATTTCTGCTCTTGGTTAAGGTATTGTGTTTGTACAGCTCATTTTAAATGTAGTGTATAATTAAGACATATAAGTTAGTAGATAATCATCTATAATAGTCAAGCCTGTAGTCATGTTGTTTAGGTTTTCTAAATATATAGAGATATATTTCAGTTAGATAAGTATTCTTCAAATCTTTCAGAGACCTTCAGAATATGGCATTTGAAATGTTTTAGGAGCTTAGGATTTTCGTGAGAATGAGACACACCTGCACTTGGAAGCACCAAAAGCTTCAAGAGGAAGATTGGCACCAAAGAGGCTCCGTATGGAGTTTGCTAGCCATTTGGGCAAGAGATTGCTCTTGTCTAGACTGCTTGATGTTATGCTGTATGAACTGAACATGCAGGACCCACAGAAAATTGACTGCTGAAGCTGCCTAAGGAAGGAGAGATGATCCTTCAGGGTTCCTGCTTCATGGAAGAGCCTGTCGGACATTCTGCAGGACACAGAAGAAAGTGACTAACAAACTGCTAATACAGGCAGAACTGTCTTTGAAATTTCCTGCTTCGTGGGAAATCTGCTAAATACTATGAGCCTGTGGGCTGAAGATGGATGCCCCAGTGATACAGAAGAACTTTGGGTGACTTCGTCCAGGCAGCGAGATGTCTCTGTCAACTCTACAGTTTTGGAAGTTGCTTACAACGCACTTTCTGTTTACCTAGGTAATATTATATCCTTAATGGACTTGAAGAATAGATAGTTATAATTATAGTTTTCCTTAGTTATAAAAGACAAAGTAGATATAAATATTGTAACTGTAATTCTTGCTTGATAACTGTTTGTTATGCATAATTTTACTATGTTAAAGTTAAAACCTTCCTTTTTATTTAAACAGAAAAGGGGAAATGGTATGGGAAATCCTTCTGTCTATGTGTTGCTTTTATTGGTTAATGAATAAAGAAACTGCTTTGGCCTATAGCAAGGCAGAACTTAGCTAGGTAAGGAAAACTAAACTGAATGCTGGGAGAAAAAAAGCCAGAGTTTGGAGAAGCATGAAGCTGCCACCAGAGACAGACATGCCGAAACTTTGCTGGTAAGGCAAAGTCACATAGCAATACACAGACTAATGGAAATGGGTTAGATTAGGATATAAAAGTTAGCCAAAAATATACTTAAGCTATTGGCCAAACAGTATTGCAAATTATGTGGTTTCTGGGTGATTATTTCGGGAGTCTGGGTGGCTGGGAAACAAATAAGCAGCTTCAATACAGCAAAGCCTGATGCTCAGGATCTCACATGTAAGCAGAGACTTTACCTCTTCACTCAGGATCGTGTCTTCACAGCCTGGTGCTTACACTCAGACTCCTAGTGTTTCTTCCCAGATGATCATCTGTGACTCCAGGTGCTTGTGTTTTAACGGATCTTCATTCCATAGTCCTGAGACTGTCCCTGTGGACCTGGGTCATTGTCTCAGCACAGTAGACCCCTTCTCCATGGGAAGAGACCCCTGTGGAGACCAAATACAGCAGGGCACTGACCCTGTCTACACTCCGCGTTTCCCTATGTGCACACACTTCCATGGTACAGTTGCTTTAGGGAATAAACCACAGTAAGTAAGAGTTAAGAGTAACTAAATATAAAGCAGAATAAAATGATAGTGTGGTAGAAGTTACATAACATGTGGTCATGTGTGTGTGTGTGTGTGTGTGTGTGTGTGTTTCTCTCCCCCCCCCCCGACCTTCGCTCTCACTTTATGAGCTGATGAGATGAGGGAGATGAACGTCACAGGCTTGTAGGACACTGGACCTGATAACAGTTGACTTCTGAGTTCCTCAGTCCTGTGCAGTGTGGGCAGAGGGTGATTCTCACGACACAGTAAACACTGAATATTCTAGGATGCATATGGTTCAGTAGTGTGGAAAAAAATTAAATTTATTAATTTTTTTCTTTCTCTGGATTTTTTACTTGATGTCTTCAAATCGCAGCCACACACAACTGAAGTAGAAAGTGAAAGCAGAGGTGAGCAGGGCCTCCTTCCTGCAGGGAGAGTCACATATGACACAGTGTGTCGAAAGTGCTTAATCAGAGCTGTAAAATCTCCAGTCACCTCCGATGCAGGTGTCCACAGCAGCCCCGCACCCTCCAGGACTCCAACAGCACCTGTTTCCGGGAACATTCATACTGAGTGCTGTATTTTACCTGGAATCTTCATGCTCCCAGGTTTCATCCTGACTAACCTGAGGAGCAGGTGGCCTTAGGCGGCTCAGAGACACCATGACACAGAGCGCTCCATCCCGCAGCACAGGGCTCAGGCAAAGTCTTAGTCCCCAGGAGGGTGAGGTCTGGGTGGGGAAGCCCAGGGCTGGGGATTCCCCTGTCCCCAGTTTCACTTCTCCAGCTCCTAACCTGGGTCAGGTCCTTCTGTCCGGACACTGATGTCAACTTGGCGGTTCTCACCCCCATTGGGTGACGAGAACCCGGGGAACCAACCAGCATCGCCGCGGTCACCGGTTATAAAGTCCACGCAGACCGCAGAACTCAGAGTCGCCGCAGATCTGAGATGGGGGCGCTGGCGCCGCGCACGCTGCTCCTGCTGCTGGCGGCCGCCCTGGCCCCGACCCAGACCCGCGCGGGTGAGTGCGGGGTCTGGAGGGAAACGGGCTCCGCGGGGAGGGCGGGGGCGGCCCCGGGGAAGCCGCGTCCCCGCGTGGCCCAGCCGGACTCTCCCGCCCCTTCTCCACCCGCGTCCCGAACTCCGCGCCCTGCTCCCCTCCTGGCCCGCGCTCCTGCCCGGGGTCCCGGGAGCAGGGTCGGGGTCTCACCGCGCGCCACCCCCAGGCTCGCACTCGCTGCTGTATTTCCTCACCACTGTGTCCCGGCCCAGCCTCGGGGAACCCCGGTTTATCGCCGTCGGCTACGTGGACGACACGGAGTTCGTGCGCTACGACAGCGACGCGAAGACTCCGAGGATGGAGCCGCGGGCGCCGTGGGTGGAGCAGGAGGGGCCGGAGTATTGGGAGAGGGAGACACAGATCGCCAAGATCACCGAGCAGAATTACCGAGTGAACCTGAAGACCCTGCTCCGCTACTACAACCAGAGCCAGGGAGGTGAGTGACCGCGGTCGGAGGTCACGACCCCTCCACGTCCCCACGCAGGGGCCGGAGTCGCCCCGGGTACCAGGTCCGAGGTTCGGGAGCAGAGCGGGGACCGGACCCGGTTTTCCTTTCGGTTCAGAGTCCGCGGGTGGGCGGGGCCGCGGGTGACCCCGGGGCTGAACAGGTGGACGGGGCTGACCGAGGGGTCCCCCAGGTTCTCACACGTACCAGGATATGTATGGCTGTGAGGTGGGGTCGGACGGGCGCCTCCTCCGCGGGTACCGTCAGGACGCCTACGATGGCCGCGATTACATCGCCCTGAACGAGGACCTGAAGACGTGGGGGGCGGCGGACACGGCAGCACAGATCACCCAGCGCAAGTGGGAGCGGGATGGTGCTGCAGAGAGACTGAAGGCCTACCTGGAGGACACGTGTGTGCAGTGGCTGCGCAGATACCTGGAGAACGGGAAGGATGCACTGCTGCGCACAGGTGCGGGGGCCCGCGGGCAACTCCTCCCTCTGCCCTCGGGCTGGGCTCAGTCCTGAGGAAGAGGAAACCCTCACTGGGGTCATGCCCCTGTCTCTGAGGGCAGACAGAGTCCCTGAGTCTCCTGATCCAGCATGGCAGGGACTGCACTGACCTCCCAGGGCTCAGCCTTCTCCCTGGACAGTTCCACATCTGTCTCAGGAGGGAGGAGAGAGGATCCCGACATCACCAACAGTGGCTCCTTCAGTCTGCAGCCTCTGTCAGCCATGGCCTCTCCCAGGCCGGGTTCTCTGCCCACACCCAGTGTCTGTGGACACTGAGTCCTGTTTTGTCATCTGAGTGTGTCAGCCTTACACACCAGGACCGGAGTCTCCTTTTACCTGATGGGAGACATGGACTCTCCTACCCTAGGCTGCTTCCCCCAGTCTCTAGAACTTTCCAAAGAATACATTCTCCCAGATTCCTGTGTGTGAGGTTTGCATCCTTCCCACACCCCAATTCTATCGCTTCCTGCAATAGTCACATAAGAACATATGGGATGCCCTGGAAAAATACTAAATTTTGGGATTTTTTTTTCTTCTTTTTTCTTTCTTTTATTTTCTTTTCTGCCTCTCTTGCTCTTTTCCTTCTTGTCATTTTGCTTTATGTAAGTTTTTCTTCCTCCTTGGGGTGGTATTCCTTCTCTCCCTCCCCTGTGTTATCTTGTATATATATCAGTCTCCACAGGTACCATGGGGACTCACACTCTGGATAATTAGACAAATTAAATCAGTGTTCCCTTTAATAAGAAAGATTCCTGGGAGTTTATTTTCTGCCAGAAATAACTATCCAGAGCCCCCTGTACTCCCTCTGACCCAACAAGTTACAATGTTGCCCTAGTGAATTAGGAACTAAACTTCCTCAGAGACAGGGTTTTCTGCACCTCAAGGACTGGAGTGAAAGGGAAGATCCACACACCCTGTGAGCACCGCTGTGTCCCAGTGAGTGCTGCACTGGGCTCCACAGCACACTTCAGGGATCCTGGGTGACAATACCTGGTATGTTGTCTCCCAGAGGCAGGGGTTAGGAAGTCATTTTCTCTGGCTGAGTGTCACAGGTTCACCACAATTGTTCCACACAGTTTGGTGATGGCTGTTCACTTGGATTCACAGTTAAACTGGTCAGCAAGATGGCCACAGTGCTTGTTCCCCAATGGTGGCAGCAGGAGTTGGTGGCACCCTTCATGTAGCCCTGTCACCTTAATTTCTTATTCCTGTAGGAGTTTAATTACAAAATAAATCAATTATTTTCCATTCCTTCATCCTTTTACTACCTAACTTATGCTATAGAACATCACATAAGGAAGACCATGCTGACCTGCTGGATCATGTGGATTCCCTCTTAGTTTCTGGGTTCCCCAGGAAACTGTGCAGTTCTGTGATGAGGGGATCAGGTCTACCTGCAGGTCACTAGTGTGATGACAGAAGTGTTCAAACAGACACACAGTTCACCGTCATCATTCATTTAACTTTTTTTTGCACATATCAGTTTATCTTGTTAATTGTGAGATTTCTTTTTTTTTTTTTTGAAATTGTGAGATTTCTTAAATCTTCCACACAGATCCCCCAAAGGCACACGTGACCCATCATCCTGGACCTAAAGGTGATGTCACCCTGAGGTGCTGGGCCCTGGGCTTCTACCCTGCCTTTATCGACCTGACCTGGAAAAAGGAGGAGGAGGAACAAACTCAGGACATGGAGCTGGTGGAGACCAGACCTTCTGGGGATGGAACCTTCCAGAAGTGGGCATCTCTGGTGGTGCCTTCTGGAGAAGAGCACAAATACACATGCCGTTTGTACCATGAGGGGCTGTCTGAGCCACTCACCCTAAGATGGGGTAAGGAGGGAGTGGGTGCAGAGCTGGGGTCAGGGAAAGCTGGAGCCTTCTGCAGACCCTGAGCAGGGTCAGGACTGACAGCTGGGGTCATGACCCTCACCTTCCCTTCCTGTCCTTCCCTTCCCAGAGCCTCCTCAGTCCACGGCCCCCACCATTGGAGTGACTGCAGGTCTGGTTCTCCTTGGAGCTGTGGTCATTGGAACAGTGGTGGCTGTGGTCATTAAGAGGAGGAGAAACACAGGTAGGAAAGGGTGGGGTCTGAGTTCTCTCTCTGCCCCTTTTAAAAGAATCTCTGCCTCATTAAAGGGAAACACATCCACACCCCTCATTGCTGCTGTCTCTAATCTGGGTCTGCTGTCAGTTCTGGAAACTTCCAAGGGTCGGGGACTTCCCTGGTCTCTCACAGCTTTTCTTCTCACAGGTGGAAAAGGAGGCAACTATGCTCCAGCTCTAGGTAAGAGTGGTGGGCAGGATTGTCCCTGAGGCCTGTGGGGTGAAGCTGGCATATTTGGGGAGTTCTGGCAATACATAATAGCTCTTCCAGCAAATCTTCTAGGGACCAAATTTTTACCTTCCCATGAATACATATATTTTTACCCCAGGCAGGGACAGTGACCAGAGCTCTGATGTGTCTCTCCCAGACTGTAAAGGTGAAACTCTGGGACCTGACTTGGGGAGGGGTAGAGTGGACATGATTGGGTTTCAGGAACTCCCAGAATCACCTTTGAGTGTGTGGTGGGTTGTTGGGATGTTGTCTTCACAGTGATTGTTCATGACTCTTGTTCTGTAGCATGAAGACAGCTGCCTGGTGTGGATGGAGTGACAGACGATGTGTTCAGGTCTCTCCTGTGACATCCAGAGCCCCTCAGTTCACTCTCAGCAATAGTGTCTGATGTTCCCTGTGATCCTATGTGCTCAATGTGAAGAACTGGGGAGCCCAGCGCACCCTGCACACCTGTCCCTGTCCCTGCACTGCCCTGTTCCTTTCCACAGCCAACCTTCCTGTTCCTGCAGACAGGAGGGGACATCTCCATCCTGTCTCTTCCGTGCTGTCCTGAGCTCCAACAGTGACTTCCCCACTGAAAATAAGAATCTGAATGTGAACTTGATTGTTAATGTCCTTGATCTCAAAGTTTGATTGGTGGTAAAATAAAGGATTGAGATAGAGTTTATGGAGGAAATAAATGGCAGCGTGGAGAACCTCCCAGAATCTGTGTTCACTGTGCTGTGTGCATCTGGTGGGACGGGATGAGGCTGTGGGAGCTGAGTGAGAACAGGGCTGTGCCCAGGTGGAGCTCAGTTTGTTGTTGGCATTGACACGGTCACTCCTCATCTCTGTCCCCTTCTGGCTCTGTTCTCTTCATCACTTAGAACCACAAGCTGACATCTGTGATTACAGGGACACTAGGATGGCTAGAGCCTTGTCTTGTCCCCAGGATTATGAGTTGCCAGAGCTGTTGTCTTAGCTGTGACTCTGTCCCCTGTCTTCAGTGTTGATTTCTTGTCTTTTTAGTTAGTATGGAGGACTAGGCCTGTTCTTGTTCCTGTGAGTGGTGCCTGCCTCATTATCCTGTGGGGTCTCTGAGTGACAGCATTAAGAGGTGTTTTCCATCCTTGTCCCCTCAAGGCCCAACTAGGCCCCTGTGCTTAGGAGACTGTGGGATGAGAACATAAGCTTCAGTCTCCTGAGCTCCTGCCTCTCTTCAGGCCCCTCCCTGGTGGCTCTCTCCTTTCTCATCTATCAGAATCTAACCCGGGTTGTAAGATGGGCAGAGAGGAGGGATCCACAGGGTCTGATTTCAGATCTGTCCTGTGTTCTGCCCAAGGTCCCCTCTCCCTCTCTGCCTCTGGGAATCCTCGTGCTGCCTCCAGTGGAGACTCAAGGATTTACAGGCTGAGTCTACTTTAGATTTATGTTTATTAAAAAAACATGATTCAGGGACTGAAGCGATGACTCAGGGCTTGAGAGCACTTGCTGCTCTTGCAGAGGACCCAGGTTCAGATCCCAGCACCCATCTGATGGCTCATAACCATTCATAACTCCTGTTCCCTCTGGACACCATGGAGATTCATGGTGCAAACACTACTAGCAAAAAAAAAACTCATAGATGCAAAATTCATAAATTAAAATAAAATTGTGGGGAATGCTGGAGATGGAAATTTCTTCATTCCCTGCTCCAGGTTCCGGCCTCTGCAGTTTTCTCTTCTAGCTTTGTGACGTCCAGTCAGGAGCTCCAGTAGCCCTAGCAGAGATGTCTGATGACCAAGGAGGTGATCATCTCTGTCATGGGGCTGCCATCTCTGTCTTGTGAGGGATGATGGGTCCCAGTGTTCACCACAGATAACATTCATACACAATAAGTATATGAGGAATGAAGAAAAATTAAAAATGAAATATAAGATTGCTTGTCAAAGAAGAGAGATGAAGGGGAAATGGTAGGACTTTATGAGGGAAAAGGTCAGTTGACTGTGACCTCAGTGTGAGGGGACCTGGGGCTGCACGTGACACCCCAGCACTTGGCCTGAGGTTGATGGAGGTGGGTCATCTGTCTATCCGTTGCTTTTATTGATTAATTAATAAAGAAAATGCTTGGCCTTTGATAGGACAGCAGCTTAGATAGGCGGAGTAGACAGAACTGAATGCTGGGAAGAAGAAGGCAGTGAGACAGTCACCATGATTCTCCTCTTTGACACAGACGCAGGTTAAGATCCTTCCTGGTAAGCTACCACTTTGTGGTGCTACACAGATTATTGGAAATGGGTTAATTGAGATGTGAGAATTAGCCAATAAAAGGCTGGAACTAATGGGCCAGGCAGTGTTTAAAAGAATGCAGTTTCCGTTTAATTATTTCAAGTGTAAAGCTAGCCGGTGGCCAGGAGTCGGGACGGCAGGAACGCAGCCCTATATGAGGTTGCATTAACAAAGGGAGCTTCTGTAGAACAGGGAGGTGACTGTGAATTTTCCTCTGGACTGAAACTTCCCTGCTGGAGCCAGGAGGAGCTGATGAGACTCAGGAAACACAAGAAGCTACAGGTTGACGGAGCTGACACAATGTAGCGCTTCCCTCTCAGGGTTAAACCAGCTGCAGTTCCTGAGGGAGAGGAGACTGTGGAGTGGAGCTGCTGGGAGCTGTGCAGGGGACTGCAGTGGTGCAGCTGTGTGAGCGGACATGCGCACTCGGGTGGCTGTCAGTGGTTATCCCCAACTCACCCAGGCTCCTGTGAGGGACCAGTGAGCTCAGGGCTCACCGAGCTGACTGTGGATGGATGTTTTCCTTGGTCTGCTGTCACTGTCTCCGTCTGGGGAGGAGGAAATCTGCTCCTCAACCAGGGGGACACAGCTATGTTAATTGTTTATGTAAATTGTTCTATCATTAATAAATCTCAGAAGTCAGATATTGGGGTAAAACCTGATAGGTCAAGAAAGCAACAGAAGAAAAACCAGCTGACTCTCTCTCTCCATGCTTCCCACATTGATATCCCCATGAATATTTATAGGCTCTGCCCTGCTCTTTTCTCTGCCTCTCTATCATATTGTATCCTGGATCCTCCAAAACCTCTATGGCTAATTCCAGACAGCTGGTTGTTGACTGCGCACCCTGACTCAAGGATAACTTTATTAACAGTCTTGAGTTTCACAGTACAATCACATATCCCTCGACATTTCCCCGTTGTCTAAATAAATAAAAAGGAAAAGTTTTAACTCTAACATAGTAAAACTATGTACAATAAGAACAATTATCAGGGCCTCCGCCGTCGTGCCTGCAGCTTGGCGGAGGGCCAGGCCTGCACTCTCTCCGCCATCCTCCCCACCTCAGGTTGCTGGCTACACTGGTTTTGCAGCCCGGTACCCGGCGTGATTGTCAACCCATTGTACGATGCCCCTGAAAAAGGGAGGAGATGGAATTAAACCACCCCCAATCATTGGAAGATTTGGCACCTCACTGAAAATTGGTATTGTTTGATTGCCAAATGTTGGGAAGTCCACCTTCTTCAATGTACTAACCAATAGTCAAGCTTCCACAGAGAACTTCCCCTTCTGCACTATCGATCCTAATGAGAGCAGGGTGCCTGTGCCGGATGAGAGGTTTGACTTCCTCTGCCAGTATCACAAGCCAGCAAGCAAGATTCCTGCTTTCCTAAATGTAGTGGATATTGCTGGCCTTGTGAAAGGAGCTCCCAATGGGCACGGCTTGGGGAATGCCTTTTTATCTCATATTAGTGCCTGTGATGGGATCTTTCATCTAACACGTGCTTTTGAAGATGATGATATCACGCATGTTGAAGGAAGTGTAGATCCCATTCGAGATATAGAAATAATTCATGAAGAGCTTCAGCTGAAAGATGAGGAAATGATTGGGCCCATTATAGATAAACTAGAGAAGGTGGCTGTGCGAGGAGAAGATAAGAAACTAAAGCCTGAATATGATATAATGTGCAAAGTCAAATCCTGGGTTATAGATCAAAAGAAACCTGTACGCTTCTATCATGATTGGAATGACAAGGAGATTGAAGTGTTGAATAAGCACTTATTTTTTACCTCAAAGCCAATGGTCTACTTGGTTAATCTTTCTGAAAAAGACTATATAAGAAAGAAAAACAAATGGTTGATAAAAATTAAAGACTGGGTGGACAAGTCTGACCCAGGTGCCTTGGTCATTCCTTTCAGTGGGGCCTTGGAACTCAAGTTGCAAGAATTGAGTGCCGAGGAGAGACAGAAGTATCTGGAAGCGAACATGACACAAAGCGCTCGGCCAAAGATCATTGAGGCTGGGTTTGCAGCACTCCAGCTAGAATACTTTTTCACTGCAGGCCCAGACAAAGTGCGTGCGTGGACCATCAGGAAAGGAACGAAGGCTCCTCAGGCTGCAGGAAAGATTCACACAGATTTTGAAAAGGGCTTCATTATGGCTGAAGTAATGAAGTATGAGGACTTTAAGGAGGAGGGGTCTGAGAACGCAGCCAAGGCTGCTGGAAAATACAGGTAACAAGGCAGAAATTAAATTGTTGAAGATGGAGATATTATCTTCTTCAAATTTAATACACCTCAGCAACCAAAAAAGAAATAAATTTTAGTTATTGCTCAGATAAACATACAACTTCTAAAATGCATATATTGGGCTTGGGGATTTTGTTTTTTAAATTAAAGTTTCTGAAATGTAAAGTGACAAAGTTAGGAGTGGGAATCTTCTACAAACAAATTATTTTTATTTGTTTTTAAATTATAAAATACTGCGTACCCTCAATGAAATGCAAATTGCTAAGCGTGAACAGCTTTGCTTCTCACGTGATTAAGACCCTACTTCAAACTGTAGAAGTTTTTCAAGAACCATATTACTCTCCTGATACTTCATTAATCTCCATCATGTATGCCAAGCCTGACACATTTGACAGTGAAGACAATGTGGATTGCTCCTTTTTGAATCTACAGATAATGCATGTTTTACAGTACTCCAGATGTGTACACTCAATAAAACATTTGACAAAAAGAACAATTACCAGGTAGGAATTACATTTACAGGTGGTAGTGGTGGTGCACACCTTTAATCCCAGCACTCAGGAGGCAGAGGCAGACAGATCTCTGTGAGTTTGAGGCCAGCCTGGTCTACAGAGTAAGTTCTAGGGCAGGCTCCAAAACTACAGAGAAACCCTGTCTCAAAACAAAACAAAAAACAAAAAGCAAACAGAATTACATTTAAATGTCCAATCCATTTGTATTTGAAAAATTCTGAGAAATTACTCTATTATCTATGATACCTTAAAGTTTTACACATAAACCACTTTCTAATATAACTTCTGTTACTATCCTAAAACTATCTTTTAAGACCTTAGACATTTCTAAGATAACTATCTCAAGCTCATGTGTCTCTCAACCTTATAAACTTTGCATCTCTTTTCTAAGTTTCTTTTCTGAATTTGGTAACAAAGAAAATGGTTTAACTATCTAATTTTCAACCCCATTAGAGACATGAAAAGAATACATATTGCCTGAATATGCAGGAAGTGTGGCACAAACAACTTCCTTTGCTTTTGTTTTGTTTTTTGAGACAGGG